GCCCCGACCAGCTAAGTCTCGGCTTCGCCTCGACTTTGCAAAAGTCGGGCGGGCAACTTATTCAGCTATTTTATTATTCAAACAATAATTATTTAACGTACTTTCGGCTGGGGATACAGAAAAATTGTATACGACACACGGCCAGAAATTTGGATAACCTAGCGAGCGTGATATATAAAGCCTCGGCTTCGCCTCGGCCTTATATATCACGCCGGCCAGGAAATCCAACTTTCTGGCCTAGTATCGTAATATACTATTTATTACTTGTAAGTTTTTTATTTTGATACTGTGATCCACGGTGAAGAAAATAAGCCTAAATTGATTAAAAAATATTAATATTGAAAAAAGTTACAAGGGTTTTTCTAAGTTAAACTTTAACTGCTGTTTTCTCGAAAACTTGTTTTCGCACGTAAGGTCCCTTTTCACTGTCCAGGTGAAAAAAAAAATATATATATATATATTTTTTTTTTTCATCACTATATATTTTTATCAATATATTTGGACGTCCACATGAGAAGGGCCTATATTGTCGGTTCTAGTTTTCGAGATAATCGCAATTTAGTAATTTTGGAGCAAAATCTTAATTTTAAAAAAATTTTTATTATCAATCTACATGTTTTGATAAGTCGAATCATGCGGTTTTCATTAATTTATCGATAATTTAACTGTTTGATTTCATTGGTTCTTTAGAAAAATGAAAAGGGCCCATTTTGGCGGTCATTTGCAAAATCCGTATTTTAAAAATGGAGGTGTGGAAAAAATTTAAAACCTCTTGATTTTTCATCTTTAGGGTGTCCTGGACTGTAAACAATTCTTATCTGAATAACTTCCCAGAAGAACCAGAGATATTGATGTTAGAGTCTTTTTTTCGTAATTGTCGAAATGAAAATTTGGATATTACGTTAATTTTTTTATAATAGAAACTGTCAAAAATTTTTAAATAAGTTTAATATCTATTCTTTTTCTTCAAATGACACAATAAAATTGTACCTATAATCATTAATCTTGTATTAAAATGGTTCTTTAATAGAAAAACTGTCCTTTTTAGAAAAAAAAGTTTTTCGTATTTTCAAAATTAAGAGGGGGGGGGGGGGTGGTTTTAAAAATTTAAAACCTGTTGGTTTTTTACCTTCAAGGTAACCGTTTTTTTCGAAATGAGGTTTTTGGCGTTCTAAACTTTTAAATTCCGTAACTCAGCGAATTTTTAACCAAAAAAGTTCTAAGACCACTCAAAATTTTCCAAATTTTGCCAGGAATACGCCCATATAGATAACTCCACACGGAAAAAGTAGTTGACACTGTCCTCGGCGCTTCTAATGTCCCGGAATTTTTTCCGTGCAATAGTGCCAAAATGGGCCCTTTTCATGTGGACGCCCACATATATCTCTCGAATTGACTTTCGAGCTGCCCGCGTAATTTCAAAAAAATGTATGTCAAATAAAAATACAAAGCTACGTTGCTCAGACTCAAAACCCTCCCTCCCTCCATGTGGTCTAACGTAGCACATTACCGAACCCCCTCCCCCCCCAAAGCAGGCTACGTGGTTTATGGATGGTCCCTTACTGATTTTAGTATGACTGAAGTTAGAATTCCGTTACTCATTAAGGATTTTTACTAAAAATTTTGAATTTTGAGTAACATTTAGAAATCGTAAGAAACGTGTAGTAAAAATGTAACTTATAAATGCTTTCAGTACCATCATTTGGAAAATTTTGTTACATTTGTGTCTGAATTTTATCGGAATATTCAGAACATTTTTAACAGTGCGTTCATCCGGAGTTAACGCACAATATATATTATTTTTCTAAATCGTTAATATCTAAATGTAAATTATAACTAAATCACAATAGACGTGAATTTCATTAGAGTTTATATATAAACAAAAAAAACTTTGTTCTGAAAAAAAATTTTTTTATTGAAAACTTGATATTTCCTTATTTTTAATTTAAAAAGTAACTAAAAAATAATTTCATGCAAAGCGTAAAATATAAGTAACTGTTTTTACTTTTTTATTAAAAACTTTTAAAATATACAATTATTACTATAACCCTTTTTTTGAACCTTACTTTTTAACTGTTGGAGAAAGTTTTAGCTCTTAAACTTGTTTGAGGATTCTTTTGTCACATTTTCCGAAATAATTTTTCAATTTTTTAAAACTGAAAACTTTTCTCATAATTTTGAAATTCTCTTTTCTTTCCATATTAAACAAAGGAGAATTTGCTCTCGTTTCTATAATTGCGTTCTGCTTAAAATCAAAGTCCAGTTAATCACGAATAATAACTAAACTGTGAATGCATAAATTTTATGATCACATTGATGATAATTTTTATTGCTCATTTTAATCAATTTAATCACATTTTTAATTGTCATAATGACAAATCACACATAAAAATGAAAATTTTCTCTATTCTTGTCCACAGATCAATATAATTAATTTTGAATATGTTTATACAAATCTAGTTTGTAATTACAATAATTTATAAATTATTTTTAAATGACCACTTAAAATTGATTAACAGAAATTGATATTGTAGAAAATTTGCAGTTTCCGAAAAATTGTAAATTTTTGGAAGCAGCTTTGAAAAGTTTGGCCCACATTTCAAGTTGAAGAACATTTCTAACAGTCATGACTCACTCTGTAAACTTGCAAACTCGTAACAAGTAATTTTGCAGATAGGCCAAGTTTGCGTGAAACTCTGCACGCGATCATTGCTGGGAGTTTAAAATTAAAAAAGGTGGGAAGGGTCGCCAAAAGGGATTATTAAAGTGATAGGTGTTAAAAGGGGGGAAATCGCCATTTCCAGAAGGGGGTATGGGTAACAAGGAGGATACACCGTTTTAGTCGGTCAAGTCATCAATCTGTTTGAATCTGTTTTCGTTGTACTATAGCTAGTATGGTATATCAACGTTCGTATTTGTAAAGCTCAGATCAGTATACGTTTAGCTGTTGGATGAACTTGTTCTCCTCGCCTCGCACTTATTATTTACAGTCAAACGATTTTCTCTTTGAATAAATAAAAATTGTGATGTGGTATACCTGTCATTTAAGTTTATTATTCATTAAATAAATCAGAATTCGAGTCAAATTGCAGACTCATTAAACAACATTTTTTTAAGTTTTAAACATTTATTTCTTTTCTTTTTTTTTTGCTTTTTGCTTTTTTGATAAAGAAAAAATAAATTATTTAATTCGTAAAAAGAAAAAAAATTTTCGCCTTTATTTGATTTGTAAAAAAATTTTTTTTATATACGTTTCGCATCGTTCATTTAAAAAATACCTTTACTTGATATGAGTTTATGTAATTTTTTAAACATATTTCAGTTATTGTGGGAAGAGATGACAAAATAGGAATCAATTTATGAAAAATGCGTTGTTTAATAATTGTGAAATGAGTTTATAAAAAAACATGTCAATAACTGACTCACCTTTTTTCCGCCAACACTTATACCGTTACTCTGCAATTTTTTATTTTAAAATTTTTATTACATTAATCTCAAAATTGTAATTTTTAATTTATATAGAATTTTATTGATTTCCTTTTTGTAATTTTGCATAATTAAAATATTTTTGGAATGAAATCGTACTTGAAAGGGAATATTTGAGTTGGAAATAATTTTCAACAGAATAGGAAGAATCGTGCTTCTGAACAATAACTATTGAAGAAAGGAATACATTTGAAAAATAGTACTTCGCAATTTCTATTTTCAATAATTAGAATTTCTTATTCTGTTGAAAGGCAAACGACCTCTTTCTATGATAAAATTATCTGAATAAGAATAAATTTTTTAATATGTATCGTATAAAACTTCTGTAAAGGTGTAAAAAGTATTTTTTTTATGTAATAATTAGTTGAATTTCTAGGAAAATTGGATGTTTATATTTAAAATCTGTTAAAAAATATTTTTCTATTTCATTTTTTTAAAGAATTTTTCGAAAATTCGTGTTCTTTTTTAAGGGCTTAAATTTTGCTCCGGAAATATCATCTGATTGAGTGTACATTATCTTCGGGCGTATTTTATTCTAATAATCGCAATTCCTTTGTATAAACTTTTTGAAGGCTTGATAAGTGCTGTAACTCCTCGAGGTCAAAAAAAGACAAAGCTACTTTTGTTAATGCTTTTAATTTACTCTTAACTTTAAGGAATATTTGTTTTTATTTTATTTAAATTACAAAATATTTTATAATTATTTATTTATTTAAAACATTTTATTCAAATTCATATTAAATTTCTATTTTTCTAATAGTTGTTTAATTGTTTAAGTTAAATTAAAAGTAAAAAATGTCACTAAAAATTCTTAGGGTCATGACGGAATTCGAGTTACAAGTTTATAAACATTTGTGATCAAAATTTATAAAGAATAATACCTGCACAGAGTATAAACAACTTTATCCTGTTTTTCAAACTTATCTTTCGTAATTTTCATGTTTACGTAATTTATTTTAAATTCGAGAAAATAATTGTACAAAATAAATGAAAGAACTCATATCATTCCAGAGTGTTTTGGAGTCTGCAAAAATAAATAAAATATTTTTTTTAAAAGAGATTTTTCTTTGTTTCATGTACAGTGATTTATTTAATGATTAATTCAGTTGAAATAAAAAATGTTAATAAAAACTATGAAGGAGAAAGAAAATTTTGCTAGTGAAAGACGTTTCGCTCCACATGAGTAAGTGATTTCTAATCTTTGTGGAAAAATTAAGAGTTTTTTTTATTTATTTACAATAAATAACAATTCTCGAAAAAAATATAAAAAGAACAACTATTCGCTATAGAAATGATGTTATTTAACTAATTAAAAAATTATACTTCTCAATGTGTTTTTGTGATAGTGAATCGAGTTCTATTCATTCGATTTATGCACGTGTTGAAAAACTTTCAGTGTATCGGATACATAGTCTAAACCGGTTTATAAAAAACTCATACCTTAGAATAAACAAATGTCATATTCTCAAAATTATCTTTGCTTTTATGTTAATTTAATTTCTTCATTCTTTCAGAATATTTGTGAACAGAAGTCTTCATTTGGAAAATATTAAATTTTATGGATTCGATATGGACTATACATTGGCGGGTAAGTTTTTCTTTATTTTTTTGTCAAAATAAGAATATTAATATTTCAGAAAGTACAATTTTTTGTGTTCTGAAGAGAGTAGGGGAAAGGCTTGCAGGTTGACCCACCTTGAAAAATTGATATATGCACGGAGAGAAAAATCTAGCTTTAATAGTATGACACTACCTATACTAATTTCGCATGGACTATAGTCACGCTTCAAACGCATGAAAACATACCGAAAAACCATGGTGAAGCGTGGACCCATGGGTTTTTGGGTATGAATTCATGCGTTTGAAGCGTGACTATAGTCATGCGAAATTAGTATAGGTAGAGTCATACTATTAAAGCTAGATTTTTCTCTCCGTGTGGAAAAACTCAAATAAATTTGTGACGCGTTCCCAAGAAAGGTACCTAAGAAGGAAAAAATTTGAGGTTATGTTTTAAATTTTTTGAGTAAAAATACAGAAAGAGAATCAATTATTAATTAAAAATTGTTGGTTTTCAAGTTTTCATTATATTCAAATATTGAATTAATATTGGTTTAAAATTCAAATGAAAATGTAAACAAAAAAATGAAAAAAAATGAACTTTTAATATTTATTTTGCCCTTATTTCCAGATAAAATTTTCACTTTTTCCCTGACCCTAAAAAATATTCTGATTCACTTTAAAAATTATTAGGTACTCAAAAAAATGTTCTATTACATTTATGTATTTACAAATTTCTTTAATTGTAAAACTATTCAAAAACATCAATAACTTCTTTTCTAAATAAATATTTAATCATTATTATTTTTCCGTAGGAATTAAAATTCTTCAAAACATCCAAATTCAAAAATTTTTGAAATTCAACAACTTATAAGAACATTATTACAAAACATGAAGAAGGCGATAACTCCGAGTCAGTTATCGCCTTCTTCATGTTTTGTAATACTTAACCCTGCTAAAAATAAAATCAGAAATAAAGAGAGAACGTCAGAAATTTTGATGTTTTGTGACTACTTTGACGATTCCTGAAGCTTTTGGTTAATTCTGACTAAAGGATTTTTTATGCTCCTGTTAAATCCTGATGTTTATGGATTGTGATTATTGAGCATTGAAATCTTTTTTTTTATTTACAGCCCCTCACCGAAATATAGCCGGTAAATGTAAAGTACCATTAAAACTTGAAATTTGTGCGTAGCCCTTTTTTCACAATAGAATTGCGGGTCTATTGTTACGAGGTTCGGGTCTCTAACCTAATTTTTATTGCTCAAAAGTTTTGCAATTTTAAAATTTCAAGTAAAATGAATATAAATTCAAAATCTAGAAATCTCCACAATTACAAATATCTAAAATTTATTATAAAAAACATTTTTTTAAGGAAACTGTAACGTATCTCGAAAGCCGTAATTGTTAAATAAAAAAGGATATCATTTTTGAATTTAAGTTCTAAGGGATATACTGTATGCATAATAAGAGCATATTGTTAGATGAATTCTAAGTCGATGAAAAACAAGTATAATGTTTAAATAAATATGAATATAAACAAATAAAAAGATTTCCCTTCAATTTTATGACGGTCACCCAGTGGGAAATTTCCAACCGGCGCGGATCCTCGCCTGTACCGACGCCGGAGTAGTGGTACTGGCTGGGAACCGCCTGCCTACCGCCCGAGAACTGGTATTCTACCAAAAGATGACTTGGCCAGGAGCTGGCTGGCCATCCGTCTCGGAACTGGCATTCTACCGCCCGGTAACCGGCCGCGAAGAGCCGTTCCGTGTATAATTCAATCGGCTGGGACCCGGCACTGTACCGACTGCGGATCTTTCATTTCCTAGCCAGATGTGCGCTGGCAATGCTGGCATTCTACCGCCTGACAACCGGCTCGGATCAAAATGATAATGTCAACAAATATCAATAAAAAATAATAATTAATTGCAAAAGATAAATACTGATAACAATTCATTGACAGTTCACTTTACACATTTTTTTATTTCTTTATACACTTAAGGTATTTGTCGCGTAAATTCGTTTTCGACAGAATTTTTTTAAATTTCACATAATTATTCTTTGGATATTTATCTACAAAATAAGGCCTATTAAAATAAAATTGACCGTCTGTAAGTCTCAAAAAATGAAATCAAAGTTTCGATTTTTAACATGTACGGTATAGGAAAACCATATGAAAACCACAGATTTTTAATGTTTGCACTTATACTAATCGACAGATTTTTTAGAAAAACTAAAGTTTTATTTATTGAACCAAAATGAACTTTTATAAAAAACATGAAAATTTTTCACCGTCTTGTTTAAAAGATATTTAACATCAAACTTGAAAAATTATTTTAACATTTACTGTAAATGACAGGTGAATTTGTAAACGTGGCAATAGCGCTTGTTAAATACTACAGCTTGTCTGCTACTTTTGGCGCGAAATTTTAAAGACGGCCATACGCCAAACTTGCGACGTTGCCACGATCGTTTTTCATGCGAGAGGTTATGAATATACTTTGAGAACATCTGTGTGTCAAACTGTACGTCCGCAAAAGTTTTTCAGAAACTCGCATTCATAATCGTTTCATAAGTACAGTCAACGGATACAAACTTTTGACAGTGACCAGTCGCGCGACAAATACCTTAAACGCAATTTTTTATTACATACACATTTGAAAAATCCTAACGCTTGGGGGTACGAACCTACGCCTAACCGAATATTTACGCACCGAAATCTCGCACGCTAACCACTATGCTACGCTCGCATGGAACTCTCAAACCTTAAATGCTTTCAAGTCTCACTAGCTGAAATAAAAATTGTAAAATTACTACGCGGCAATAAACAATTTTCAAATACGAACTGATGTAATACCGGTATATTTTCAATACTTTACTGAATGTGTATTTATGAATATTTCAATATTTCGTTTAAAAAAAATGTTATATTTTTATTATTATGTTTTTTAATATTTTATTACATAATATATCGAATAATATGAACATAACTTCACTGCAAAACAATTTATAACATATAAGTAATAGTATTAAATTGAATAAAATTTTAATGCACAACACATTTTTTTAATTATTTAATTTGCAGAAAAGTGTCAATAAATAATTACTTAATATATTGTTTAAATTAAAAAGAGATTATTAATTAATTAATAATAAATTAATTAATAATAATCTCTTTTTTATATATTGTATTTAATATGTTATTTATTGTAGGCATTATAATATATTGATCACATTTTCTTTCAAGTTAAATATATTTTACTTCTTTCAAATTAATATATTATTTATTAAAAATTATTTATTTAATTGCACATTAATAAAGTTGGATTTTTATATATATATAATGAAAAAATTAAGTTTCTTATATTCTTCCTTTGCATGAATACTATTAATTTATTTATTGGTTAACTAATAATAATATTATAATAAATGCAATTAGTTATTGTAATAATTAATTATAATAATAAAATAAATTTATGATTATACTGATAATGTAAACTATAACAATAAATGACGAGATCCGCAGTCGGATCCGCCCCAGCACCGAGCCAGTACAGACCTAACATCCGTCATTCTTCCGACGCGCGTAGAAGAATGAAATCTGCAGGCGGAACAAATCCAGTACCGCGCCAGTACTGACGAAAGTAGAAAGGCGGATCCAAAAGTCGGAGCCTAATCTGTTCCGCGCCGGTTGCATTTTAGGATCCGAATCGGTACAGACCATCGGTGCTGGCGGTCCGTACGGGCGCGGATCCCAGGCGGTTGTATAATCCGACATTCGTCCGACTTTTCCTCCTGGGTGCAGTTGACCTTTTTCCAGGTAAAAAAGGGTGTCGACTTTGTATAAACAAACCTGACTACTTTTGAAGCTGTCTGATTAAACATGACTCAAGCCTGACGTTCTGTGGCTGCAATAGTAACAAATGCAGCCTAAAAACGTCAGAGATTCTGACTAAATTTCTGTCGTTTTGTGATTTTATTTTTAGTAGGGAATTTAAATTTCCATAAAATTTTTCAAAAAACAGTTAATTATTATTTTAAAAAATCCTAATAAAATCCTTTGCAAGAATTCAATTATTTTTACAAGTATGTAAAATTTCTCAAAAAAATTCAATTATTTAAAAAGATGTAATAAAATTAATTATTGCAAGAATTCAATTATTTTCATAAATAATAAATCGATTATTAGGTAATTAATTTTAAATCAATTTTTATTAGAAAATTCTAGAAGAATTCAATTATTTAAATTGAAAAACAAATAATTTATTGAATAATTGAATGTTTGTTAAAATTGAATTCTCATAAAGAATTTTATCAACAAATTTTTAAATAATTGGATTCTTTTAACAAATTTTAATAAAATTTTTAAGAATAATTACTTTTTTCGAGTAATTCGATTAAAATATTGTATCAAAAATAATTAAAATCCTGCGATGAGTTTTAGGGGAGCGTGGGGGAATTGGAGCCCCTTAAGGAAAATTATTTAAAAAACAACTTATCTTTATAATAATACATTGGTTTCGTCATTTTCTACTCATTTCGTTATTTATCTTTAATTATGTTTAATTAGAAACTTAAAAAGAGAAAATAAATTGAAAAAAAAAATTTTCAAAAAAAAAATACATTTTTTGCCATCACCTAATTTGTTGGGTATTGGGAGCTTTCACTTGAAATTTAAAAAATTTTTATTTTTTAGGAATATTTTTTGTTTTTTAATAGAAAAAAGTGTTAATACTTACAATGAAGCAAAAACTTTAGACTTCGAATAAATTTTTTCCTAAATTATAATTTAATACAAAATTTTTGAAAAAAAATTAAATTTTTCATTTTTTCCACTAAAAATTATTTTTTAATTAAAAGTTTGTTCATAAGGTGATATCTTTTACAATTTTCAAAGAAATAACGAAAGCCGTAACATAGTAAAGAAAATTCTTTGGGCTGACACTAATTCTCCCATTACCCCACAGAATTCTTACAGGCCACAATTTGAATAAGAAATTAAAAATATAAACAAATTTTATTATTACC